TGCCCCTTTTCCGCGATGCTAATTGGTTCTCTTGTTTTACTCATTTTGTACTGCAAGAATACAGCGAAATCATGTTTTGATAGTTTACAAAAGTTAGATTATCAGTAACTGCGTGATTGACTTGTATACTTGTATAGAAAGTATAGAAAGTATAAAAAAATATATTTAGAAAGGAAAGAAACAAGAATTATAAGTAATTTTAAAAAATGAATAAAGCTGCAGGAAATATTCACAGCTTCAGTAATCCGACGATAAATAAGTGACAGTAATAATTAATAAGAATAAATACGTAAATTATAAATCGATAAAAAAAGTATATTGACTTACTATATTTGATTGTATTTTTATATGAAATTAGCGCGTAGTGCACGTCTGTGTTATCTAGTAATTATAAAATAGAAAACTAAATTTATAAACACACTATTGTCAATAGGTTACTTTATAAATTATGCGTTTTGAACATTTTTCTAAATTTGAAAAAAAAGGAAAGATCTTAAAAATCGACTTTATAGAATTGTTTGTGCAACTTGAAAGAGAAAACCTCAAATATTCTAGGACTTACTGCAGTCGTACAATTGTGTTCAACAACCTTACGATCAAAGTGCCGAAAGAGAATTGCGATAAGATCAATCCAATTTTTGGAATTGCACAAAAGAACAATCACAAACTTTGCAGCGCGGATCCTTATCGTCATGCAAACAGAAAGTTTTGGGTTGTCGCTATAAATACATGAGAGCCAAATGTTGAGAGAGGAATGAAACGTTCAAACGCAATGAAGGAAATTAAATCTTCTCATAGTTTGCGACAATATTTGGGTACAACATGGCTCGTTTTGTTAACACTTTCCACTTCCATTTTAAAGTCCATAAAATAGAATCAAACCAATTTAGATAAAAAAAAATATGGAGATACCTTATTGAAAATGAAGATACCTTATTGCACTTATGTTAGGCGCGCGCGCAACACACACACACACACACACACACACGCACACGCACACGCACACGCACACGCACACACACACACGCACGCACGCACGCACACACACACACACACACACACACACACACACACACACACTCTCTCTCTCTCTCTCTCTCTCTCTCTCTCTCTCTCTTTCTCTCTCTCGCTCTCTCTCTTTCTGTCTCTTTTTCTCATATAGAGTCAAATATCTTTTACGATATAATTTTTACATTTACAATTTATTTAATAAATTTACAATCATTCTTAACAAATTTAAATTCAATTAAAAATTTTCTTTTGTACTTTCTAAAAAATAAAATTTTTTAAATTAAAATAATGCAAAATTTTATGTAATACATGGATTAAGAGAAATTTAGAAATAAGCTCTAAAAATAAAACTATAAAACATGAAAAATTTATATAAACTTAATATCGATAGATAATAAATCATATATTTTCATAATTTAATTGGTTTGATAACTTTTTAATTAGTTCATTTATAAAAGTATATAACATTGAAAATGAAAGTTTTTTTGAAATATGAGTTTTAAATGTTAATAATTAACATTTAAGTTAACATATTGAAACATTATGTTTCAATATATTAATAATATCTACTTGACGATAATAATGAAATAACATATAATTGCCAAAAAACACACATATACACATGAGCGCGCACGCCACGTACACACAGCTCTTAATTAAAATGTCACAAATCAAAGAAAGAAGAAATAAGCATTGTAATAGGAAGCATATTTTCCGAGGTTGAAATCAACGATGCTCATCCATTTTCCGTTTTACATGGTATTTTTCGGTGTAGTCTCTACCGAAGATAATGGTGGAAACAAAAAATAACGTTTACGAGCCATGTTACGCTAGCGCCAAAAATATGAGGGCCGACTCTACGACGAAGGCTGCTAGTAGATATAAAAAAAAAGAAACAGGGATCGCGGAAGGGAAGCGAGGAACGTGTGTTATTATCGATATCGCCTCGGTGGACGAAAAAAAAATCTTAGCGTCCGTGGATATTGGTCGGCCGAGAAATAAAAGAGAACACGACGGAAGTCGCTGGCCGGCTGGTGCAAACACGATATCTTGTTCCCAGCTCTCTTCTCGTCGTTTAATCTCGAACACCTTTTTTCCGTAGCGTATAGCTTGATTGTTAGCTGCATATTATGGCTTCACAAAAATGTTAGGACGTTTTTAAACCGTGATAAATATGTTTTTATTGTCGTTATTATAACTACATTTGAAATTGTACACGTAACAATAATTTAAAATAATTGTTTATTATAAATTAATAATGTTCCATTTTTCGACATTTTTTAAGTTTAATATTGAAATTAATAAGTTATTAATAATTTATAACATTTAGAAATTAGAAATTATATGTATATATATATTTTTTAAGAAAGATTATATTTACTGCTAAAATTATTTTATTTATGATAAAATTTTTCCGATAAGTTACTGTTCATTAATAAGAAGTTTAAAATTTGCAACCGATATTTCACGCTCTAATTGTTCATATAAAAATATATCTCGACAGATATATTTTTATTAATAAATTTTGAAGCTCAATCGAATAATCAAATGGAGTCTGTTTCGTCTAAAGAATTGCAAAAAAATTGCGGTATTCCGACTCGCATCAGTACGCCTGTAAAATGCTGATCGTCGTCGTTCAATTGTGAGAAATTCGATCGTGGTTTCTTGCCATAATGTTGCCGCCAATCATCGGCAACATTAACAGCAACGACATACTGACATTGTATACGAATTCCGACAATGGCAACGACAGAAACGACGTGGTGGCAACACGAACAGTTAGCAGAGGCCGATATGCGGAAATTGGCATTAAAAGGTAAATTGTTTTTATGAAAAGAGAAGAAGTCTAAGAGAAATATTTCTTTTTTTTTTATTTTGTATTTGGAAGCAAAATAAAACTAAGTGTTGTAAATAACCGTATTGAATGACTATATCAATACTGAATGCCTGTGTTCATATTTTTGTAATTTCTTCTTAAACACATTTCTTCTTGCCTGTTAAACAACCAGCAATTATAAAGAAAAATGGAAAGAAAAAATAAAGTTAAAAGTAACTCAAATTTGTAATATTTAATTATTATATTAAAATTATTATATGTATATTCTTATCACATACAACTTAAAACATGCTTTACATGTGCTTGAGCTTTAAAATATATGATTTTTTTAACAAAAAAATGGTACGAGACACATAGATAGTAATTGAAGCATACCTTCCATCCAAAATGTAAACATAAAGGTAGAGCGTAAGTCGTGTAATCGAATTTAGTAAAGATCTACTGCACGATCCAAGCTCAATATGGGAAGAAAGAGGAAACTGGAAATCTCGCGTGCCGTTGTTAATGCGAGGAAATCGATTTTAATCAGTAGTTAATATGAAATATGATAGCAAAGTGGCCGAGCGCGAGAGGAAGCCCTTAGGTTGATTCTTATGTAAGCCGCTTTATCTGTAATCCGCTTACGATCCCACGAATAGACATCAGCCGAGTCTCATTATTTCTTTTTCTCTCTTGTTTTCACGAGAAATTCGCATTGTTGTTTCTTCAAAAATCTTTAAGAGGCAACACGATTTGTCAAACTACAAATTAAATTGATATTTAATTAAGGTATTAATTTCATTAATTTTATTAATAAATTTTTTTATTCCGAATAGTAAATTATTATATTATATACTCGTAATATATTACAGATCTTTGTGAGAATACGTAAAGCGTGAGATATTTTTGCAATTCGTAATTTATTTGCTAAATAAAATAAAGTGAAGTAGGTAAATTAAAAAAGATTATTTTAAAAATTCTTGCCACATTTTATGCTGTAACTTTAAAGATAGTTTAACGTAACGAATGCAAATTGATAAGAATTTTACCTGTTTCTTTGTTAAAATAAAATGTAGTAATTCTATCAATATTTCGTATACAAGATAATTTTTTCGGCGATAAAATAGATACGTGATTCTATTTCAATACAGATTTATATAATCTTTATTTATATTTGTTCGAATAAAGATACATATACAATTTTTTCAAAAAGAAATCTATGTACGCCGCGTGACAAAATAAATGATTTTTCGATACAAAATTCTATTACGTACCTAGAAAATTAAAATTTGGCGTGCAAATCACCTAGAAACGTGATTCAACAATTTTCCATGGTCATACTTTCCACTTTAATCAGGAAGATTCCCACGGAGATTCCTAGTTTCCCGAAGGGCACTCTTCCCTTTCTGGAAGCCACTAGATCGTTTCCCTTTTTTATTTTACGGCTTTCTTCCGCGATATAAAAAAAAAAGAAAGCCGCTCTTCATCATTACCGCAAGATTAAACGATCGCTGAACTGTGTGAGTCTCTTGTAATGTTAGACGGAGCGTATAGTGTTTCGCATGATTTCCTCGATATCTTAGCGACTTACTTCACGAAGCTAATAGAACAGATAGATTTTTTTAACGTTTTTGCAATCGAAAGATTCGTCAACATACTGCCGAAACGATCGCGTATGTAATTCACAATTACAACTATTATATTATTTACCTTATATAATTAGATTGGGTTCCAATGATTATATAAGTTTTCTCAATTAATGATTAAATTGTTATATTATATAAGTAGAATCAATTACTACATATAATATAATCAGAATTAAATTATTACTTTAAAATTCTGAATTGTTGAGTTTATAATAATTTATAAAATCGTAGCGTGCAAAATTCTGTCTATTCCAAATAATCGTGTAAAGAGTAGGTAGAAAACATTTTCAGATTTCCATCGAAGACATGTCGAAAGATAATAATATCAATGCAAGTCTCGCTTTGACGAGATCCTTTCTCCACAGAATTCCTCACGGATCGACGGCAGAAAAACCCATTTCTACTGTGGAAATCGAATCTGACTTCCAAATCCTTCGGGAGAGAAAGAGAAGTCTCCTGGTATTTTTCCGGTTGCAGATATATTGACTCGAGAGTACCTTTGAAAGTACATCGAATCCATAGGGATATGTAAGTCCACCCGATGTTCTTCCGGTTTCGCTTAAGCTGAACAGCCACTCGTCATTGTATTCGCTTTGAAAAACATATCGTACATCACTGAAGAGAAAAGATGAAAATATTATTTGCGAGTTGATATTACACAGGACAAAAGTATACAATACTTTGGAACCGTGCCAAAAGCGGTGACCAGGAACCAGTTTGCATAGTCATATACCATTATTGAAAACGTTTTCTTTTTGAATTTAACGCAGACAATGAAATATTGACAACATAATTTAACATAAAATGGCTTTTTTTAAAATTAAGAAAGAAAATTTTTATCTCTTGCATAGTTTTTTAATATTGAACGTAAGTTCGGCTTTTAAAATATTGTGTGATGTTGCAATTTTAAAAAATTTGAGATTAAAATTGTAAAATGACTATTTTAATATATTTTACTGTTCTACACAATCAAAGTATACGTGACGTCTCGAAAAAAATTTTATTTAATTCAAAATTAAGTATTTCTTTCGATTCTTTTTTTTCGTACCTTTTAATCCTTAAAAGATATGATTGAAAATTCTAACATGAAAATTAATATTAGTAAGATTTTTGTGATTAAATATTAGAGTTGTTACATTTACATTACGAAATTAATTAAATGAAAAATAAATTAAACCGTTACATTTTGAATCATGAACAATACCTGTATATTTTTCAATTGTTTATTTAAACTTAAAAATGTTTGAAATTGCTAAATACAAATCCGATGTTATAAAAATTGGTGAATACGTATAATAGTAGGTATGTAAATTGCAAATCCAATAATTACGTTATTTTTATTTAAATTATTTTTCTGCAAAAATAGATTCACTACTATTATATAATTCTTATTAATTTTTATCTTTACAACAAATTTTTTTAAAATTAAAAATTAAAATAGTAGAAATAATTAACTTTGAATGTAAATAACCTAATACGTTACATATATGGCAGCTGTAGCAATTTGTAATTAAAATAGCTTGTTTTAATGATTCAATCTTAAATTTTGTAAAATAGTACGATATATATAATTATACGATAATATATTTCTAAAGTAAAAATGTATTGTATTGTATTATTATTATTATTATTATTATATAAATTTTTTATAATAAAAATTTAACTTGTAGATTTCATAATAAAAGCTATTCTTTTCTTTTAAATCTTTTATTGAATTGTCCGAGAAATTGTTTAATTCAAGCAGAACTTGTGTAGACCTTTAATACGACAAATATTCACGATTTATTTACAGTACTTTTACTTTTCAATTTTTTATTGAATATAATTTTAGTGTTAAATCTATTTCTCATTGTCAGTTACATGAATCAGATATATGATGAATGACGAATCTTTCTGTTTCTGTTGATGATAACTTTAAACTTAGCAGTCAACATCACTAATTTTAGACGCAAAATTATTTAATAAAGATTGTAAATGTAAGACAAGAATGATATAGATGAACACACAGAAACCATCATCCGTAATGCTTAGCGAGCGAGGAGTATTGCGTACATACTACAACTCGGGTAACTTAAACTCACTGTAATACGGTGAATGGGTCTCCCAGGCTGAAACTTAAGGAGACGCTCTTCAGCTTCGGTTTCACTCTATGCAAGAAACCGGATAGGCCGATGCACGGAAGTCACACTAAAACACCTGACTTCTGTTCTCCTTTCTCCATTCCGGCTTCCTTCTTCCTGTTTTACCATTTTTATTCGAATTTTTTTTTATTTGCAAGAATAAACGATAATTTACCTCATTGAGTCGAGTATTATCTACTATCATCAAGAGTATTGTTAAAGATCTATAGAATTCCTGAAGTCTTATTTAACAACTGCATGCGGTTATAAAAATAACTATTGTATTTAATTCTTTTTAATTTTATTACACTAATACATATATGTGTATCTAATTCTTTAACATTAATATATTTAATTATTTATGAAAAACAAAAATCATATTTTTTATAAACTATTTTGTCAAAATAATAAAATACATTTTTTGTTTATCTGAAAATAATATGAAGATAATGATAGTGAATAGAAGAATATTGTAAATATACCAAATATATAATTTAATAATAAATAAGAATTTAGGGAGAGAAGGCTCAAAAGAAGATTAAAATTTCATTAAAACTGGAATATTTGTTTTTTATTGTGACATAATTTAATAATAAATAAGAATTTAAGAAGAGAAGGCTCAAAAGAAGATTAAAATTTCATTAAAACTGGAATATTTGTTTTTTATTGTGACATGGAATATTTTAATTCCAAATTTAGAGTGTATGTTATACATATATTTAAAAAATGTGTTCAAAAATACCTTCTTCAATAATAAAATATTTTATTTTGTGTTGACATATGACCTGGATATTATATTGAAAAATTTAGATTAGATATTTCACTGTCGGACATGTTTTAAATCAATATTTTTTCCAATACTTTTATTTTTTCTTTTTTTCATTCTACAGTAAAATTTTTACAAAAAATGTCAATATAGAAGATATGACATAAAAATGAAAAACTAGTGGATACACAATATTGAAATTGAATTTCGCGTTTGAGAAAACAATGTTTTCGTACGAATCAAAAATTAACTTTGCCCGGCAAATATAAGTATAAGCCTGGGAAAAAAAAGTACCGTTAATGTCATTATTTTTTCTCTGTCGAAGTGGAATTTAATGGCGCGCGTCGGAATATACCTTGATATCTGATCGATTGACAATGAGCTTATTTTGTCGCACGTTGTTTCTCTCTTTCTTCCTTTCTTTTTTGCTCTTTATTTAACGATGTTATCCGGTAGGTCATTCCCTTCCGGATGATCCAAGAAAAGCAGCGCTCATTACTATCTAAAAACTTCACAATATCAGCGATATTGTATTTTTACCAATGCAGTTATTCTGTTATTTTATATAATCGTAACAGTTCTATCTAATTTGTTCTATCTATTTGACTGACAGTTCTATCTAATTTGTGGTTGAACGTAATAAAAAAATAATTGAAAAGCATGAAAGATAATACATATTAATAAAAAAATATTGTTACAGCTATAAAGTGTGATTTTCTTTCTATATGAATACATTATAAAATTATTTCATACAGAAAAAGAATCTTTTTTTTTTTTAAATAATCTGTTATATTCGACAATTTTAACTATAGTTATATAATTATTCTGTTTTTCGGAACTAGTAATACAAACTTAATGAACACAAAGAAATATATTAAAAATGCAGTATAAAATTTTTTTTAAGAATTTACAAGGAAAGTCCACATCGAAGAAAGTAGTATTCTTCTTTATTTTTGATCAAGGTTATTAATTATTCAAATTTATTAATTATTATATTTTTCGTTATTTCTTATTTCAGAAAAAGTATTATGTTCTGGAATAAAAATATCTCATAAATAATATTAATTTAAACTAGATTCCGTAAGTGAATATCACAAGTTTTGAGAGCGCCTTCTACAGTTGTGGCTGAATCTTGGTGTCTAATAAATTTTATATTAATTTTACATCCATTATTCAGCTATTTAAACTGTGCGCCGAATCTATATCGGACTTACAACGCAATAATTTAGCTGAAGTTGAAATATTAAGATCACAATTGATTTTCAATTCTTAATAATTTGATGCGATTAAGCATCTTAAAATACTGCGACGAATTTATTGCAAAAAGTATTATCTCAGCCAGAGTTTGAACAATATTAATTTGAAAAATATCTCAATTATACAGAGAAAAATATACATACAATAAATTTTTTTATGTATTTTTATTCATAATAATATTACCGTTATAAATATAATAATGTAAATATGTAGTATAAATAGCAATATATATTAATGTACATATATATATTAATGTACATACATATATATATACGTACGTACGCTGTACTTAATACTTTATTATTTCTTAATAAAATGAATAAAGGCATGTTACTGATTTTGAAAGATATTGCTTAAGTACTATTAGAATATCAATTAATAGACCATAATGTACTCAGTGACTTCTTTATCAAGATCTAGTTTCCTCTTTATTAAATATAACTTGCTTGATATAAAAGCTCTGCAAACAGTATATTTTAAAACTTCTCATTAAAATTTGCAATCAAATACAATCTTTGATCAATAGTTTATTCTTTAATTATACTTCGTGTCTCGCCTTTCGAAATTACGAAGGTAGTTACACTACTTTATACCTCACAAGTCACAACTTTAGAGCCAAAAAATGTGTTTTTGCCGCCCAGTCCTTGTCCTGTGGCTAGGGTACTATATTATATGGGAATGCCTTTGAGCATATAGACATGGAGGTGAAATGTTGGCTCGAAAACTGTGTCCAAGATGTGTGCGAGAGAGAAAGGTAGACGAATAATATTCGTCCTCTCTGCGCATGCGTCGATTATTCAACAGACAGAGAGGACGAAGTATCACGTGGTATCGCTCGTATATCTTTCTCTCTCGCACTCCTTAGCACTCTTGGACTCAATTGCGGTCTACAAAGAACAAAGGCATTCCACCTCCATATACTATATACTCAAAGGGAAATGCGCATCGCCATTTTGGCTTCTGGTAACGGCACTTTTGAGCTTCTGGTAACTGCACTTTTCAACCGCACTTTTCAAAACCATTCTGCACTGACGAGGAGCCAAATGCGACGATGCGCATTCCCGCCATAATATGGTACCCTACCGTAACGGCCTCCGACGTCCTTCTTGATTCGTTTTCTTTGTGCCAAGCAAGTCGCACGTATTAAGAACCGTTTAGAGTGAAAATCGTCGAAATATAGGAAAACATAAGAAAAGATCGCGTAGCAGAGAAGAGGAAATCGAACAGCTGTGGAAAAGGCTGAGAAGCATCGAAAAACTACTTGAATCTCGTATGCCGGCACCTGCTCCGATTGACAAGAGAATCGGCGATAGGAATGAGTCGTCTAGCGAGGACAGGGGTAAGCAACAAAGCCCAGGAGATGGATCTCGGACAAGAGCCAAAATATAACCTCATCCACAAGGTTGAGCTCGGACGAGAGCCGAGACATAACCTATTTTTTACCCGACGATCTTATACGAGAGATAAAACATGTTCGGAGTGAGGGTCGAGCTTGCACGAGAGGCAAGTCAGGGCCATAAATAAACAAATATATGAGCGCGGACGGGGCAGTCAGTGCTCTAATCTGTTGTACCGGAGGTCCAAAGTTCGATTCCTGGTAGACCCGATAGATTGTCATACACCTCTGACTCAATGTAGCACCGTAATGTATATGTTTAAGTCAAACCTTCGTGAACAGATGCCTACAACGGACCTTGAGAATATTCTAGCCAAACACAATAATAAACAAAGAACTCAGGAGCGTATCCAAGCAAGAGGAAATCGACATGGAAATCCGTCGATGAAAGTGGAAGTGGATTGGCCATAGTCTAAGAAAGGATCCACAAGATATAACCCGCATGGCCATGGAATACAATCCGCAAGGAAAGTGAAAGAGAGGAAGATCTGCCATGACATGAAGAACGGTCAACAAAAAAATAGAAACACTGGGAAAGAGCTGGGCAGAAATAAAAGCGATTGCCCCTAATAGAATAAGATGGAGGAGGCTTGTAGACGTCCTATGCTCCACACAAAGAGATTAAAGGATCATAGATAGATGTATAAGTAAATAAATGCTAGGGTTTATTTTGTTGTTTCATCCCACACGTTCCATGCTTTGCAGGTAGCTTAGTAGACGATTTGGTTTCGAATTACGAAGTTGAAGGTGGTAGGGATGGAAGTTCTACATTGACAGAAGTGCAAGCTGAGAATCCGTTGACCAGCAGCATAAGGACCACAGCGCAACGGAGTCAGGCCGATAACAGTAAGGTTATTACCCTCACGGATCTGAGCAGCAACCAGGCACAGGAAGAAGAAAAAGAGTCATGATCTGGATGACGAAATTTTGCAGATTATTGGTGAAGAGCCTCCTAAATGCAATAAAGAACTTGAAATACATTCTAGTTTAGCTTGTCGTTAGACTCCTTGGTTGCAAGAGGGCTTAAAAAAAGCTGGATGACGAAATCTTGCAGATTATTGGTGAAGAGCCTCCTAAATGCAATAAAGAACTTGAAATACATTCTAGTTTAGCTTGTCGTTAGACTCCTTGGTTGCAAGAGGGCTTAAAAAAAGAAGTAAGAGAAGATTTATTTCTGAAGTACCCAAGAGAAGGCAAATTGCTCTTTGGAAGCCCTAATACTAAACCCTAATACTAAAGGAATTTACGTCCTTAAATGTAAACATCGTAAGGAAAGATAAGTATTTTATATTTACACAGAATTTAGCCGGTTCAGCTCTCTCAGCACCTGTTATAACAAGCTTAGTGTCCCTTAAGACACAGGAATCTAAAAAGATGCTCAAAAATGTATGGGATGCGGCTAAATTATTGTCGGAAATTCATCACTCTCAGACAGTGTCCCGAAAAGCTTGTATTTTATCAAGTGCCTCAATGCAGATGATACAACATTCAACTATAAAGAAAACAGATAAATATTTGCTTGGAGAAAATTTAGGAGAAAGAATTAAAGAGCTTAAGACAATTAGTAAAGTAGGACAAAAGATTAGGACGCAGCCGCAGAAATTTCCATCCAATCAGTTAAACTGGAAGGGCCCGGCTGCTGCTCAAAAGTCGGCAACGCAGATGGGCTTCAAGCAACGTCCTCAATGATCGAGGAAACTGACATCGACAAGGTTCTCGAGGAGATCGAGTTATCCAAAATCGAGTCATTATCAGTCACAAGCTCACAGACGCAAGCATTAGAATCCGGAGGCAATCAGATTCTCAAAATAGCTGGCAGATTATCTCGCTTTAAGAGAGTTTGGGAAAATATCACGTCTGACCCGTTTGTAACGCAATGTATTAGAGGTTACAAGATACCTTTTAGATTACTACCTTTTCAGAGTAAATTATCTCCTACGACACAATGGATTCAATCTGAACGTTGGGAGATTCAGAAGGAAGTTAACTGCCTTTTATCAATTGAGGCAGTAGTGTCCTGTGAGACAGTAGAGAATCAATTTAATTCAGATTTTTTCCTAGTTCAAAAACCAGATGGCAACTATCGATTTATTTTAAATCTTAAAAAGTTAAACGAATATGTAAAGACGGATCATTTTAAGTTAGAGGATTTAAGAACTGCTTGTAGATTAATAGAACCGGGAATATTTATGGGTACAATCGACTTAAAAGACGTCTATTTTCTTATCTCTATTTATTATATAAAACATTTAGAAAGTTTCTACGTAAATAATAAAGCCAGTGATGTTCTCTGAGATCACAGGGATTATTGTCGGTCATTTATCTAGACGACATATTGTGTTTAAGTGAGACAGATCACAGTTACCGAATTAACAATAGGAACACTTTAGACCTCCTAGAATCAATAGGTTTTATAATTAATACGGAAAAATCGACCTTAAACCCAAACGTGGAATGCAAGTATATAGGTTTTATCTTAAACTCAAAGAAGATGTTAGTGGAATTGCCTAAAGAGAAAAGAGTTAAATTACTTTCACAAATATCCAAGTTTGAATATAAAAGAGTATGCTCTGTTCGAGAATTCGCACAGTTTATTGGCTCATTGATGCAAGTTGCCCAGGAGTCGAATATGGTATGATCCATTCAAAATTCCTAAAAAAAGCAAAAAACGGAAGCCTTAATGAGAAATGATGCAAACTTTGATGGGAAAATGAAAATTTCAATCTATATAAAAGAGGATCTCAAATGGTGGAAAAAAATATAAGTCAACAAAAAGGATAAAATTATTTAATTTTAAAAGAGAAATTTTTTCGGATGCTAGTAAAACAGGTTGGGGAGTGTTCTGTAATAGACAGAAGGCTCGTGGTTTATGGAGCTTTGAGGAATCTAAATTACATATAAATCAATTAGAGCTTAAAGCTGTCCTTTTGGCAATCAAATGTTTTG